GTATATATATATATATATATATAAATATTTAAAAGAGTGTCATTATTTTTTATGTCCTGTTGTTATTTAGTAGGACATATTGAAAATTCACCACCTGCACTTTTGATTACATTCTATATACGTGATGTAAAATATTATGCTTGCACGTGTGCAGTCTAATTGCTGCTAATTACACTAAACTACGGATGCCTACAGTCTTACCTAAGAAGCCATAAGTATTACGCGGATGATGATCGATCCATCGATGATGATAAATCTATCTAAAACGAAGCGCGGTGAGAAATTAGCTGTTAGGAACCAGGCGCCAAGTTTCATGAGAGCGCGGGAAATAAATGGTAGGGATAAGTGAAGCGAATAGATTGGTCGGGTCCGTCGAGGCGCGGAGGGGCATCGACCGGTCTGGCATCGGGCTGCTATCGGACTGGCAGGTCCCCCCGTTCAGTGCCACCAATACACAAGAGCCGAGGACTCTCTATCGCCGACCATTGGTCCTCAATTTGCCGACCAATCATTGGGAAAGTGCCCACGAAAATATCCAATGTAAGTCCACAAATTATCAAACATCAACGGGGTACGCGTACGACCGCGCACGGTTGTACGATTAACCGCCGCGTGCTTTCGTTCTGTGAGTCGATTCAACCGCGGGCCCGTGTCTGATTCAGTCTGAAAAACTCTTTCCGCACGGCCATGTTTGTCGAGACGAGCGTTTCTCGTCCGAAATCCGCGTCATACCATGGCGAGTATACCGCGTTCGAGGTACCATCGCGCCGCCGACTTGGACCACTTGGTCTAGCACGACCGCGTTCGCAGTGTACGGATTACGCGGATACGAGGTTAATCATGCTACCGAGAACAGGATGCAATATCCTTCGGAAGCGTATCCCCATCGACAGAAGGTGATGATCGCCTGGCCTCGATTCTCCTATCCCGCGTATCTAGCGTTCTGCTGCACGTGTGAACCCTAAGACACTCAATGTGCTCGCCACGTTGGCGATCTTTATCAATGCTCGCGAGGCGCGAATTGCGTCTGTTAGACGTCTCTCACGTATAACTCTGATCTCTCTATACTACACGTTCCATTCAGTTTGCCTTCATTTCGTCAACGAACGCGAACATGATTCACAGAACTTTGCCGCTAGATACCATTTTACCTGCTGCTGTATACGTATATCTAACTCATTGTATTTTTGCCCTAAATGAAGAGCAGACAAGTACGCATCGCCGCTGATGCGTACGCTGGGCCAAATGGGCTACAATGAGTTATGTGCACAGAAATTTGAGTATATACGTCTACTACGTAAAGGAAAATGCGATTACCGCACATAAAGTTATTTATTTTGTTTTATGGGTTTACACTTCGGCTTGGTGCTAATGTATTCCTCTGTTTAATCTCGTTGTTTTGTTTTTTTATCAATCTGTTCTTCTTCTGTTTAGCGATAGCAGTGATTTACAATGGAACAATTGGGAGATGGACAAGCAGTTGTGGTCGGTAGTGCCGGAGGCACCGTCCAAGTTGTTCAAATGGGACAAGGAGGCCAAGCAATGGCCATGCTCCCACAAGCTATACAAGTGGCAGCGCCAAATGGTCAGATACAAGTCGTTCCAGTATCCAGTTTGACTAACGCAGGCCAGCAGATTGTGATACAACAGCCACAAACTCCACAAATCATTCAGACACCTGATGGTCAAACGTACATATATCAGCCTGTTCAGTTGGAAGGCCAGGTTCAACAAGCACAGCCAACTGGTACGATTCGTAGCAGCTTGCATAGAAAAAGAACGTTATGTACAAATGCATCCAGCGTCAGCGACTATTAATTGTCTCCTTTTCGCATTCCATTGCGCAGTGATTAACATCAATGGAAATCTCATGCAAATCGCTGGAACATCGCAGCAAGCAACGACCACTGCAGCGACTACAGCACCGGTACAGCCGCTAGCGAGTCCCACAGGAACAGCAACTCAGGCAGGAAATGTTGTCATGGTGATTAAAACGTGCCTCTTTCACTTACACAGTCTGTGTATACATTATACTGACTTGTAGTGATTACAGGGCAACATAGACAAGCTATTGTCCTTCACTTGAATTAACAATTAAATAAAATTAATGTAACCGCATTTCGTTGACCACGTGGGTTTCTGTTTGTCGGTGGCCGACTTTAGATGGTGCCAGGAAACAGTGGACAGACTCAGTTTCAAAGGGTAGCCTTGCCAAATGCAGAAGTCTTTGAAGAAGAACCTTTGTACGTAAATGCCAAACAATACAGGCGTATATTGAAACGTCGTCAAGCGAGGGCTAAATTGGAAGCTGAAGGAAAGATACCTAAGGAGAGACCAGTAGGTTCACGTATTATTTAACTGCATTGTATATTTTTTCACGAGTAGTGACACAACTTCGTCTTTGCTTATAGAAATATCTTCACGAGTCTCGTCATCGACACGCAATGAATAGAATTCGCGGCGAAGGTGGTCGTTTTCATTCCGGTCAAGTAAAGAAGCGAAAGTAAGTGTCTGGGTGTCGCACCGGATCCCCTTTTACGATTTTTCTTCAAGGCTGAAGAAGCTTTGTCTGATTTCTGCTCTTCGACGCGCATATATAAGAGTGTGTAATGGTTTCCAGCAGTAGAACGAATGACCCGAACACCACCATCCAGCACATTACGACCTCGGCCATCACAAGTTCGACCAACAACTCCGTTCGTACTATAGCAATAGCAGCTGCAAACGTAGGCGTACAGTATCGCGACACGGACAACATGTCATCCACGATTGTTCTCGAAGTAAGTAGAAGTACGTCGTACGTTCGTTAATACATCGTTTAACGTTAGCACACGAGAACGTTTGCAGGAATTCACGCCGTGTTTACGTTTCTTACAGAAACGTGATATCCCGCTTCAAGATATGATCTCTGAAGAAGATATTGTTATTTCGAACAATCGCTTGATGTAGGTGTAAACCTTTAAATTTATTAAAATTGAAATTAGGCAATGTGTGATGTGTGAGAAAGCTACGAGGAAAGAAAGCGTGTCGTAGGTAACGAGATCGTACATATTTCTCTTTTGATCGTCAAAAGAACTGCCTGTAAATAATATTAATCTCGATGACGAGATATAGTGCAGACATAGTTTTTCAACATAAAATGCTGCGAAGGGTTATCGAATTTTGTAAATATCACAAGATTGCGAAAACGTTTGCGTCTTATATTTTTTTAGCTTTCTTTTACGCATAGCCTAATAGAGAACTTGATCGAATACTATTGCATAGTATCATATTACGGTGTAGTCGGATCAACTGGATACAGCCGGACAGATCGGTGATGATAGGAAGATGTATCCGTCGATTTAAAGATGCTTTAGTGATTCATCTCACCGTCGACATCAACTTAAAATATGCCCTGTACATAATCGAACGATTGATAATAAGTGCAACTCGAGATGTAGACCCCTTATACGTATCTTGTCATCGCATTCGATCGAGAGACTGAGTCGTATAACTTACTGTTAAGTCCTTGGGTACCATTCATAGATTAGATTTTGTAAGTGAAGTAACCGTAACTTGTATTAAAATAAGAGATGGACAAAGTGCAAAGTTTTAAGAGACGTATCAATAAGATTTTTTGTACAATTCAAGTGCAAGTACAATTAATTTAATCTACTGAGAAGCTACGTTAAGCGTGTTAACGTGTACATGTTAGGGATACATTATATAGAGTTACACGTGTTTCATGCAGTGGCTTGTATAAATAATACGTTTTATAACAAGAAGTTAAGTACTTTGCTTGATTGAATGAGGCTACTTAATGTATGATGACCGATTTGAAAGTTTATTATCGACAAATTTTTGTACGTCGAAAGTCAGCCGTCAGTGTCAAGAAGCGGCTAACTGAGCAGCGGCCGCTCCCGCAAGGTATACCGCAAGTAGAAGCCGAAAAACAAATTGTTCCAGTCTCTAGTTTAACTGCTGATGCAGCCAGCCAGCAGATCGTGATACAGCCTCTACAAATCGGATCGGATCGGATCGGATCGGATCGGATCGGATCGGGTTTTCCATAGAATTTTCGGAATCGCTAAAGGTGGATCACCTCTTCCAAAACTGTTTCACCTGAAATTCCAACCTGGTTGAACTGGAACTGCTAGTATTCAGGAAGAAAATGAAAATTAATCGACTCTCAATATTGTATATTTCTTCACATGTAAAAGATCGACGAACGAAATGTTCGGCAGTATGCATAAATAATTTATAAATCAAAGCTACGATAAATCAGGAGTGTAAATAACTAGGCGAAGTATAAATGATAAGCAGCAAGATTATCATAGAACATACGAATATGTTGTGTTCAGTGTGTGTGTGTGTGTGGGTCAATGTGAACGATATAAATTGACAAATGGAATTTGGTGAGACTAGGAAATAATATATTTGTAAACGTTTAACACGTGCAAGCAGAACAACACGGGTTGTGTTTTGTAATAACATTGATAATTTCATTAATACATATGACATTTTACCTAAAACTCGACATTTATCGACGAATGTTTAGACAAGAAAAGCGGAAAATGCAGAAAGATAGGACAGTTTTCAATGTGCATTATTTATTAGATCTTTGGTCTGATCAGAAATTAGAAAACACGAGAGGGAAGCATTGGTCTCTCCTTTCCCAGAATTTCTGAGCATTCGGAGCGTGGACTGTCAGGCCGTTTAGTGTATATTCGTGGTTTGACTGATAACGGAGGTCCATGCAGGCGTTCCTTCATAACTCGATTTCCGGTAACGTCTATCGTAGCATCGTATTCTGTATCTCCGGTTCTGAGAAAAAGTGTAATCAATCATCACGGATACTTTTTTTACCGGACTCCAGTTATGTATGTATATGTAATTATCAAAATCCGTTTACTTTTTTGCAATTTTTATAATCGGTTCGTTGAGTTAAAATAAATGTTTGTTTGATCGTCATCGTGAAATTTTTCGTAAGAATCGAATTTATTTTCACCATCTCACCTTATACGAAGAATTTCTCTTTCCTTTATACTCGGTATTAAATTATCCGGAGGCTTCTTCGCTTTCTTTACACGCAACAAGTCTTCCGTTGCAATTTTCCACGGGTTCCTGTAGGACTTCTTTTGTATCGTCTCTGATATGACCCAATCTTCCGGTAACGCGATGTCCTTCCACCTATCGTATATTGTCACTCGCGGTGAATAATCACCTGTCGCGAATAAACAATATCGCTGATATTAACTTTTATGGTGTAAACTTTAACTGTTTTTCAGAAAGTGGTTAAACCTCTTGAATAATCTAATTGATACACAGTTTGATTAATTTCATTCTCCTTTTGTTCTACCAGATCTTCGTCCGGCATGGTTTCCGGTAGAAACTCTTTCAAACGGGGATGTTTCTCTCGAATCTGTATAATTTTATTTCCTACTATATATAATATAAGCAGTATTTCATAAAAATCGAAATATATTCTAATTTTGCAGAACAGTAGAGACGTGGTGACCTACAGTACGTTTAACAAGTTACTTCTTTACTCTGTTTAAAGCATCTTGTGGATCTTCCGTTTGTTCCTCTAGAGGAAGTATTGCATTTTTTCGTCGCGTATTGAGACAACCTTTGTATGGGCCATTTAATATGTTCAATGGTGGAGGATACACAGGTTTCGGTCTGAATTCTTTCCGTCGATCAATTCTCTTCAATGGGTAATCTTTTTTGTATATCGTTAAAAAGTCACGAGTCTCGCTTTCCACCTCTACTATCATGTTTTCTTCTATTAAAAAAATATGCACATTATATAAATTTCTCGCAATGGACGAGACGCAATAAAAATTAATAAAAAGGTTAAAAAAAATTGTGAAGTTAGCTCTTTTTAATTTCACATGAAACAAGCGGGTTGTTACTACTTTACAACAGTAGAGAAACAGTCATGTTTTCCAACTCGTTCGAAGTAAGAACAAATGCGAAACATTGTGATCACGAGGAACGAATTGATCTATCCGTGGAAAGTTAAGACGGAAGAGGAATGAAATAAGCCCATTCGATGCGTAATGGTTCTCGCATTTCTCGCGGCTCATTACGAAGGGCGATGTAACAAGAACAAGGGGTGAGGCATGGTACCCTTGTGTACTATAAACGCCAATTAGGATACGACATCGAATTTCCCTCTTATAGGCGTGTCCTTGTTGATGCGTATCGCCCACGCTTTTTTCTCCTTTTCTTACTTACCATCTTTCTTCTATCGCCAGTTAAGAACAGTTTCGGAGGAAATCCGAGTCAGCCAAGACTTTTTGTGAAACTTCGGATCTCTTGATTGATAGAAAGCCATCCGAATCCGAATTTTTAGGGGATATAATCAAACGGCGGAGTAAATAGATGAAATTAGATAATTGATTTGTGTAACAAGTCATTCTAATTTCGCTCTTGTCAGATATCTTTATACATATAACGAGATCCATCTCTCGGGAGAAGCAATTTGTATCTTGTATCTTCGTGTTCTTGCAGCCCCCTTGTTATCCAACTACCCACTCACCTCTTCGGACACTTGGAGAGTGAAGAGGGAGAGGCTTCTCCGCTATCGCGTCCTTGTTTCGTTTTTCTTTCCGTTTACCACATGTTTCCACAGCGCGGCGTCCTTTTCCTGCTCCTGGTTCCTTCCTAAACTCTTGTAGCAGTTAATTTAAAACAGTCGAGTAGATTGATGGGCTTGATAACTTCATTAGGAGTTGATTTCAAAATCGTGTTAATCGTTTCAAAAAATTCTCAAGAGAAGCTTGTCGAATAAACAGACGTGATATTTAACTGCTGAAGATATCACGATTTTTTTTATAATAATTTCGAATAACAATAAGAAGCAACTTTCGCAGTGAGTATGCAAAAAGTCCAAAGGTCAAGTTCTGTAATTACAGATCGCGGTTGTAACTCGGATAATAACGCGGAAATAGCGTAGCTATGTTGTATAACTATCAAAACTTCAAATTAAATTCTTACCATTCTATTACATAAACATCGGTCAAAGGTCAGCCGGTAGTTTAATACCAATCGTTACGAAGCCGCTCACGAATCGATCACGAGCAATTTCACGGAGCTCGCTACGTCATCGAGCAACACCTACGCGTTGCAGTCAAAATTTTTTTAATGCGTTTCTATAGAGAGTGGAGTTCACTATCATGCCAGGAAAATGAATCGTGAAAAATCGCGAAGAAATAAGTACTTATTTTGAATTTTTTTAAGAAAAACTTTGTGCATCATAAAATGAAGCGTTCCGTTAATTAGGTTTTAGAATTAAAATGATATTAGAAGTTTTATTATCTCACTGAATTTTAGGTAAAGAATGATCGATGTTCCTTAGGAATCTATAATTGATTAAAAATAAATGCAGTAACTGCAGTCTTTTAATCGAACGAGTAAATTAAGAAATCTATTATTGAAGGTGACCGATGAACGTTAGAGGAATATTCGTTAATTGTAAATTACATACAAGGCTTGTTAATTAAAAGTAAACAGACGTACTATAAATTGATTACGAATATAGAAAACAATAATTATTATAATTAACAGTGAGTAAGAGTGAGTAAGAGATGAAATTGAAATTCGAAATAAAAAGGTGAGAATTATTACATTATCATATCTCCAGTGATTGTCAAGCTCAGGGGAATAATTTTGAGGATTAAGAATCAATAAAGTTGAGAAAAGGTTTAACACATTTTAAAATTCTGTGAGTGACATTTAAATCGACATTTTAATTGCTTCTATGAAGTTTTTAAATTTAATTATTTTTATTCGTTTCGTAAAATTACTTGGTGGAATTTCTAACGAGAAGAAACTGAAATGCGTAATTCACGGTAGATACACTCGGTTTTCGCACATCTTCAAAATGTGCTATTCCGGTAGTACTGATGTAGCTCGGTACTACCCTTCAAGCTTTACGAACCTCACGATTTCAAAAGCACCACCGCAGCGCGACACCCGTTTGCTATTGGCATGAAAATAGCAGCTCGCGATTCGAAATAAGCCGCACGGCAAACGTGACGGAAACGTAAATCGCATTACGGGCCGCATAATCGTGGCGATAAGCGCTCAGCGAGGATACCAGTTGCTTCGCAACCAGTTGCTCGTTTCAAGGATGGAACAGCTACACCCAAGCCCTCACCTTGCATCCCCCAGAAAGGATCAACCCTCCCTCCCTCCCTCCCTCCCTTTGGTCGCTGCCGCCGCGTTCTTTCAAATGTGATCGCAAGGCGAGGAACTTGGTTGCAGATACCGCGAAACAAGCATCGGAACCTCGCAGCCTTATCCGCGGTTTCACCCTCCGCAACGAGATCCTCGTGGGGGCGAGTTTGCCACGCCTCCCACGTCTATATAAGCTATCAGTCCGACGTGGGAACCTCACTTGCACCCCGGCCACGGTCAGGAAAGGGTACGCAACATCCAGACGAGGACGAATCCTGCGCTCGACTCTTAAGCCTGATCCACCAGGAACGGACACCAATCGATCCTTGACACGTACATTAAGCGCTTACCGCGAGAAGCAAGTCATGAAGTTCGGTTTATTGTGGATGTTCTGCTTGTTGGTCGTCCTCCTCGACAGGACCCTTGCCAGTCCCTACATCGATGATGGTGAGTAGTCGACAGTACTTCTTAATTACGTGCTCCTTCTGCGTGCGAGAAAATTGTGAATGTAATAATTGTGTATGAGTGTGGAATGGGTGGAATTTCCTCTGGGCGAAGGTCATAGAAAACAGAGATTAGCTCGGTGGTGACAGCTGCTGCTGCTGCTGCTGCCAAACTTTGTATAACAAACTTAATTTTCAAATACTGTCTTGACTTACTGAATGACTTTCTTTTGATACGTAAATGGAGTACGATTATTAAATAATACGGATGTCCTATCACAGACGAAGGTTTATAATTAAGACACGTACGCGGATGTTTTAAGACCGAATGCCGTCCAGTTTTAGAACTGAGAAGCTCGATTTCTTATTCATATTTAAAGATCTTTCTGTATCGGGAAACTAAGCAGACATCTAGTAGAACGTTTGGTCTCGAAGTTTGCGACTGATGGGACTTTCATCGCATTTAATTCGCAGTTAATGATTATTGTTTGTCGTCGAAGCAACCATCAATAGTATCCACGCTGACAATTACTGTTAAGTTTAACTGAAATGGAAGGGAGTAAACGTAAAATGAAAACGTGAAATTTAGCATAGAACTAGATAACAGGAATAGGATAATTTACGATCAGAATAAATCAGCTGAAATTATGTAAAACATGAAACGAAAACTCATACATAAATTAGTGTTGCAGGGAATATTCAAATTATCGATTGTCATAATAAAATATCCATTATGTGTGACAAAAAGTAGATCCTCTGATGTCTCGTTTGTGAAAATAATGTAATGTTCGTCAAAACACGTATAATTTAATTCTCAAAATAATTTTATTTGATTCTCTATTCGCTTTTTATGAATTCTGCGTATTAAAAGTAAAATTCTCGAGGATTTAGGAATTTCGCATATTCTATGTGTAATTACAAACTAAAATTGTGTGATTAATTGGTATTGCACTTTAGGCTGCTGCTGCTGCTGCTGCTGCTGCTGCTGCCAGTATAAATCAGTATGTGATCAGACACGTGGCAGTAGAATCGGTTGCGTCGTCTGCTCGTTAAAATACTCGTGACACCACTAACATTCATTATATTCCTCTTGGATAATTTATATGATCAGACATGATAATGAAATTTAATAATAAAAGTAGCATAATTAATTATTTCTTAATAGTCTGCTGTTTATGTATCATATTTATTATCTACAATTGCTCTTCGTCAAAGATTTGCTTGCAGCGTTACGTAACAATCGTTAGTTAAACAAAAACTGAGCTACCTCTGCCCCACGACTAGTGGCATCGACCTTGAGTTTTAATTGAACGCGTGTTTAATTAATTTCGACGGCTTCACGGAGATACATACCAGAGTTTTGCGTAACGTGATTGCATTTCTTGATTTATAATAACATTCTTCCCGCCTGGTGGTGGGCCTGATCAATTCGGTTGCGATAATATTTAATAATAACAGTAACCAGATTTTATCGAAGACGCAAATGAGTTGTTCGGTCGGATATCGGAGATTCTCACGGAATTAATAGATTCCTCGCATACTGATTTCAGTTTAACTTGATAAATTTATAGGGCGAATAAAACAAACCAGGCAAATTCATAAACGCTTGGATGGAATTTCTTCAGAAATTCCTCTGTTGTTCTATAAAGGAAATTCTGATTTTATAAGCTACACGTTAAACGTATTAAAATGCAATATTGAACATTCTGATCTGTTCGGGGAGGTTCTCGGGTAACGTTCTGTCTGATGAGATTGTCGACCGGAAGTACAAAGCGGCGATAGCTACGTGTTAGATCACTTTTTAATCTTATGGTTCGGTTGTAAAGAATGCTATCGGTCTAACGTTGTCTCTCTCGATGTGTGTTTCAGAGGAAGATTCACTACAGGACGCAGATTCGGATTATGCGACAGACGCGAATGCGTTGGACAATCTGATGCGAGCTGCTCAACAAAAGTGAGTTGCTTCGACATGTCGACATTTTACCCCCCTTTCCTGCGTCCTGTCGAATTTTTAAATAAATTTGTAGAATTGCATGCTTGGCTCGAATTGACTTTAATCTTTATTTTACAAACTTACATTACAGCGAGTATTTTAAGAACGAAACCTGACCTGAACGATAGATTATAAATCTTTTTGCCGGAGAATAAACAAAAGTGACTACGAATTTGGTTTCATTGGTTTTACTGATAGAGATTTTTAAGTTCGTTGTTTATTAATTTTTGTCACTTAATTAACAATGTCACTGTTGCACACCCCGTCCCTTGATGTCTCGATGTCACTGGAAGGGATTGTTCTGATACCCCTAATCTCGAGTAGACGTACCTCGTTGATCTACCTGTTTAGGCGGGCCTGCAT